CTCTCTCTCTCTCTCTCGCGCACACACACACACACACACACACACACACACACACACACACACAAACAAACTCTTTAGACCAAACTCCCTCACTGAGTGAGGAGTGAAGGCCAAGTCTGGTTACTTATTATTTTCCTGTGTCAGTTCATCTGTGCGTATAGACGGGAGTGGGGGGCTCTCGTGGCCTAGAGGTTAACGTGCTGGCCTCTCATTCAAAGGTCCCGGGTTCGAATCCGGGTAGCGACCGAAAAATTTTATTCTCTAAAATTGTCTTCTTTCACCTTCTTTCCTTAATTCTTTCTTGCAATATTCTGTCGTCTACTTTCGTCTCCATAATTTTCTTCTCCCACCTCCTCATCCTCTTTGAAGCCTTTCTACTGCTACTCCTTGGCTCCTAATTCTTACTGCTGTCTTTCAGCCACACCCCTGACCTTCTGGTAGGAAAGATCTACGCCTAGCCTTCTCGGAAGGGCGAAAATTCTCGGAGGTGGTTTAAAATCGATTGGTAAGCTTCGGCCACCACCCGGGCTAAATTCAAAACTTCCTATCAATTGAAAATATTAGGCGTGTCCTGCGCCCTCATATTATATAATATGCAGTTACGAGCGCCGTAAAACACTTACCAAATTTTTTTTTTATAGACGGGAGTGTCTATACGCACGCAATGGCGTGCACCAACACATTTTTGTTCTTGTTGTTGCTATACGCACGCAGTTGTGTGCAAGATAGCCCATCATCACACTTTGCTTGCTTTGCACGCAATTCCGTTAATTTCCCTCTTCTTTAAGTTTGCCCCTCATTATTATGTTTCCCCTTTAGGCGAGATCAGGACAAGAATTTATAAATCACTTGAGTCTTCACACTTGCAATGTACGTCTTACTTATTCTTGAGATAAGAAGTTCAGAAACCTCCATGCATGCAGCCTGTACAACCGTTCTTTTAATTTTCAGACTTTTTGGATTCCTCGGATTTTCAGCTGAAAACTGCCTCAGAGAAACAGAAAATGTGAGGTTGCATAGCATGAGCAACATTAGATCTAGATCTAGGCCGATGGAATGTAACTCTGGGTGGCTTTCCTTCAAACCACTCAGTGAGTCAGTAGCCTTGCCTTTAGAGTAGCCTGTTTATATTATTCAATGTCCCTTTATAGTTCTGTACGAGTCTGAACCGGACACTATTATGAGTAAAGACTCAGCGTGTCTAGACAGTTTGCGAGCGTAAAGATCTAGATTTAGATCTAGTATATATAGCAAACTATGATACCTTGCACTCACGCAATTGCAAAATTTGAATTGCGTGGGAATCAAAGAGGTTATAACAGATCTATTTATAACCTCTTTGGTGCGCGTAGACTATACGGTATAGTTCGTCTTAGCGTGGACTAAGCAAAGATTCTCCATTATTATGCCCAAGCATTTCTTCGACACTGGACTGGCTTTTAGACACGTTTGGCCACGTTTCCTACGCGCGCGCAACCAAGCACATTATTACATCAGGCCACAGAATTCTACACTTAGGCGCAACACCTGACTAGATCCAAGGACGTGCAAAGAGGTTATAAATAGAATAATTACAACCTCTTTGACTGACGTGTCACAACTCGGCCTTGGCCTACCCAATTCAGAGAAACGAAACCTGTCTGTGTGTCACGACGTGGTGGAATCAGGTGCTCGTCAATTTTGGGGCAGGTGGAGTTACTGGTGTTATCTTAAAGCTTGTTTTGGTAAGATTGAAGAATACCGGACCAGCGGACTGACTTTACCTATGTCTCAACCATAGGAATTTATGATTTTCCCGTTTTTAATATCTCTCAATGGAGAATCTCGGACCGGTAGATCTATTCATTAAAATTTTGTCAGGGGGGAGACCCCCCTGAACCCCCCCTCTCCCTCCCCCCCCCCAACCACCCGCCCCACTTTCTCGCGCAATAATGTACGAGTGGTCCGGTATTCTTCAATCTTCCCCTTGTTTTGGACTATATTTCGATATAAAAAAGACTACCTATTATATTTGTCTTGAATAGAACTTGATATATTTCATTGTGATTGAAGGAGATGGGGTCGCCTGGTTTCACAAGTAAAATTAGGGAGAAAATGGCCTCCAAAGTTTGAGAGTCCTTGGAACTGTAGCTCTCGAGGGCCTAAATTGACATGTTTTGTGCATTTAATCAACGTAGCTTCCATCCAGAAACCTGTTTGAATGGGTATATGGTATAGATGTGTTGAGTCAAAAAAAAAGAAAAGAAAATTCTTTATAAACTGTCTAACAACGTCTACAAAAATGTTTGCGTCTTTTGATTTGTGTTGTTTTGACGAGCGCTTGATTTCACCACGCTGTCTTGCAGATATTTTATTTAGCCAATGGTAGGCTAGATCAATCTGCTGCAACGGCAGGTGTTCGGCTGAACCATAGTCCATAGACTTACACTCGTCCTAGAATAAACTTTATTATGGCCGCCGATCTCTGTCCACTATTAATTTAAAAACTCGGAGGAAGCGTCATCATTATTTTAATACATAAAAATTGGGCTCCGTCATGGGGACCTATCTATCTTTTGCAGGTACTTGCCAACTTTCAACTCTGCAGCTGTCGTAGTTTAAACTAAAATTTATGGGAAAAATGACACTTGCGTTTCCAAGTAAATGCCATTATAGTAGATGTCGTATAGATTGATTCTCTAATCCCCTTTCGTGGTTGTACACTCCAGAATTTCAAAGGTGTGGAATTAATGTGCACGCTAGTAAATTGAAACTGCACTTTTTTACAATGTCTTTTTAGAAGACGAACTTTCCCAAGAATAGATCTAAACAATAAGGGACTACTGAAAAACTGAAAATTAAGTTACAATGACTTCAGCTCCTCAGTAAAACTGTGCACCTTTTATGAATGATTCTGAACCACAATTAATTTTTTGTCAATTTCGAAAGGTTTGGAAGTTTTAAGCGACCAAAGTGACGAACGTTTACAAATATAAAATGTAGAGATACATAATAAATTGATAATTCAATGTCTTTAAAACCATCAATTTGCGGCAATTATCATGGCCGTATTCGTATTTTTGTCACCTTCCAAAAATACTTGGGTTATGCCCTTATTAAGAGGGGGGGGGCTGGTTTATAAACCTAGCGCGGTGACTATATAATATGGCCTTCTAGATAAAGCCAAATAGCAAGGAGGTATAACAGGACATATGTAAAATGTAACTTTATTTGTTTGGTTTAAGTCTTCGGTTGCAATGGTAACGGCCCCCATATTGAAAATAAACATATACGCAGCTTTCATAAAAGTAAAAAGGAATGTAGGTCCCAGCCGTATGAAATTTTGTGTTGAGTATATTTATCAATGAATCAATGTACCTAATGTGACGTGGTTGGTGAATATCTTGAATAGGAAAAAAGTTAGAGATTGATAACTGACCTATTGCCCCTCATGCCTCTGAATTCGATTACATACTCATGGATGTAACTCACTCATGAATGCGTCGATTTTACTTTCCACCAGTTAAAGTTAGGTTATGGTATGAATAACAAGCCCTGAAAATTTCAATGGAATCAGAAAGAAAATAAGTAGATGAGAAAAAAACCCAAAAAATTGAAGTTTTGAGAAAAAAACGACTTTCAGTTACATAATAGGCTAAATGAAAAATCTAGCCCAAAAATATGAACGATGATAATGGTAACACAAAGAATTTAAATTTTTAGATTTACAAAGTGATTGATGGAGATTTATAAAACGTAAAAAGTCCCAAAATCGTCAATTTAAGACCAGCCCCCCCTCCCCCCATACTTTAAGATAGTGCTTTTGCATACAGGTTCTTAAGCAAAACTTTACCCACAAAAAAATACCAGCAGTACAGTGTTGCTAGGCCTACAGTTAAAGTGTGGGTGTGACACTAGACGATCATAAAACCGTGTGACACCTACCTCCCCTTGCCCTAATATTGGCTCTAATGGTGCGCCCATAGAAAATCGAATACATGATTGAGTTTGCAATCTAGGATATTATACGAATCTATGGCCTAGTGTAAATAACATCCGGAATGTGTAAGGAGCTATTTATAGGCCAGACCACAGTTACAAAGATTGTTTTGTTGAAGTTCGACCTGAATTCTGAATAGATCAAGACTTGGAACTTGAGAAAAATGGCGAAACTCTGTGTGCTCGTTGCTGTTGTGTTCGTTTTTGGCGTTCAGTCAGCTCCCCAGAAAGGTATACTTTAATTTCTTGCTCTGTAGGGGGGGAGGATTATCATGATAATGTTTTGACCCGCTTCTTTATATAGAATCTATGTAATCGTCGACATTGTTCACAATCATGTTTGATCACATCTAGATCTAGATTATATATGTACCCAACTTACTTCCGAGTTGATAAGATTCTAGATCTAGATAATCCTAGATATGTAGGAGCAAGATAATCAGTTATCCAAATCTAGATCTAGATCTAGATGTTATCTCGAATCTATGATGAACATGAACGAGTGAGCTTCGAGCTTCGGCAGCTCGACTTCGTTTTCCTTCCTGGTGGGTCTCTCCCTAGGCCTACTGGGGGCTGTACTCTGTCAAGTTTGGGAGGACTTCCGTAAAGAGCCACCACTAAGAAACAGGGGAAGATTGAACAATACCGGACCACTTGTATTATTGCGCCTTGCGTGAGCCAGAAGATTACTTCCATAACACTGCTCTGCCGCACGCGCTTCAATTCGCGAGAGGAGGAAGGTTAGCATTGGATGGTCCGACATTCTTCATTCACATCTTGAAGGGGAGGGGGGGTAAAATTGAAGAATACCGGACCAGCAGACTTGGACTACTTTTGTCTATATGTCTCAACCGCTGGTATTTTAGGAGTTCAGCACAGTTAAAAGAGCAGTTAATGGCTTTTTTTTTTATCATAATGCTATTTTTTTAATGTATGGAAGGGAAATTGAGATGAAAAACAATTACAAAATCATTTTTAATGGAATTTAGCAGGAACTAATTTATGTAGTACTTTCTCTCAACTGTACCGTGGTCCGGGATACTTCATTTAGACAACAATGCAGGCCTACCTAGTCCGGGAAACTTCACCTAAGGCTAAACCAAGAGTGTGCATTCATGGCGAAGCATTCCGGACCACGGCGAAGCATTCCGGACCACAGCGAAGCATGCCAGACCACGGATCATGTGCCTGCAGGGCGGGGCCTAAAGAACACAGCGTGTGGAACATCACGAGACCGAGTGCGCGAGCCACCGCCTCTCCCTTCACTGGGTGGTCCGGCATTCTTCATAAAAGTGCACCATGAGATAACATCGATTTTAATCTCTCTCAACGAAGAATCTCGGACCGTTATCAGGGGGGAAACCCCCCAACAACTTCCCTCTTCTCACAACTGGAATGAAGAATTTTGGACCAGTAGGCCTTCAGTCAGTTCATTAGTAGTTTGTCAGGGGGGAGATCCCCCCCACCCCCCCTCCAGGATGTGATTGGTCAGGGGGGGAGACCCTCCTTGAACCCCCCCTGGCTGGATTGTACTTTACCGGACCACTCATCTGGGCCCGTGTTTACTACGTGCCCCTAGCCTAACTATAATGCCCTCATAGTCATAAGTTCTCAATGTGCGGACATGTTCCTCGGGCGACTTCGCGCAGAGCACAAGCCAGCGGAAAGGCGAGGTGAGCGAGAGGTAGTTGTTGAGGATGGGTAGAGGATTTAACTTCTGTGGACCCACCGTGTGTCATAACAACAGTGGGGAGGGGTCAGGGGGTGTTGCTCCCCTGGCAACAATAATTTTAAAGAAAACACTCACAATGCAAACAATAACCTGAGCTGACCATGGCGTTAATTGGAAAATCGTGTTTACATATACAACAGTGGGGGGTTACAGGGGGGCTGCCCCCCTGCAACAATAATTTTTAAAAAGACCCGCACATAAATTATGCAAAAACAATAACATGAGCGGACCATGGAGCTAAGTGGACAATCGGGGTGTAATTAGAAGTTGGAACAGGCCGAGCCTTGCTTCGCATCACTCGCCGAGTCGCGAGCAGGACCGAGGGGATTGCGATTATATTATGCAAAAGAGCTCCCTTGCACATCTCTCGCCCTCCATTGTTTTGGATTTGGCCGCACCTCAGAGTCGCAAGCAAAGACGAATAGTGGGCCATGTGATTAGATTGACCATTTAGCGTCAGGGTATCAGGGTCGTGGGTCAAAGAGCACGGTGGCACGGTCATGATGACTGAAAAACCCGGTAACAGACGTCAGTCGGTAGTTGGCAGTCGAAGGGTGAGGACTTAGGAGAGTGAGTATGAGAGTAAGTAGGGGAGCGCTGAAAGGAAGAATAGCGGACCACTAGGCCCCAGGGGAGCCATGGTGAAAGTAGTTTCGACCGGCGGTTATCAGTGGTCCGGTAAACTACAATCTTACACCTATATGAAGCATAAACCCAGACCTAAGTTCTGCTATTCTAGATAAAAGCTAGCTCTATTCACAGCCGTGTCGATGGTTTTTTCTTATAGGCCTATATATGTGATAAGCCCAGACCAAACTTCCGCAATTCGAAGCGCCGTCGAATCGTTTTTTAAAATTATATGTGGTAGCCCAGATCTAAATTCCGCAATTCGAAGCGCAGCGAATTGTTTTTTCTTATATTGTGATAGTCCAGATCTGACTAACCCTATCCCAATCCCTCACTCTTGTATTATGAGGAAGAAAAAACAATCCGTGCCCGCCACTCTACGTCAATACAACACACATACTCTGTGCCCACAGCCCTTGTACGCGCTCAGTGGCATTTTACCCGTGGAATCTATACACTAAATGTAAGGCATCGTGGTGAAATCAGGCACTCGTCAAAATAATAAAATCAAAGAAATCTGCATTTTTTTTGTAGATCTACCGATGGGCAATTTTGTTTTCAATGGATTTAACTGAAAAACATTGATGAAAGGCACAAAAAATGTAAATTTTCGGTTTCCAAGGACTCTCAAGCTATGGAGGTTACCAAACTTTGGCAGCCATTTTCTGGCTAATTTTACCAGGCGACCCCGACGTCCTTCAATCACGCATTTTTCTATTTTTATTCAACATAGAGGGATATTTATTTCACCAAACGGAAAGCAAATAAACAGGCTTTAAGCTGAATATATATCTATAATGAATAACCCCCTTATGCCCAAAAATGGACGGGCGCCTGATTCAACCATGTCGTGACACAAATTGTGAAGGCTCATCAAACTGTCATGTTTTTTTTTTCTCCAGAGCTGACATGTTCGGTTGCCTCCCTGCAGGAGGACATGGAGAAGTCGCTCATGTCGTGCATGATCAGCGAACCTCTCCTCATGATGGAGATTATGAAGAACATGCGGAGCCCTGACAAGATGGAGAACATTGGCTTCATCTGCGAGTAAGGAGTCTAAATTTAAAATATCTTTAAAGACACATTTTGGCCTAATGAATTCATAATTTTTATTTATAAATATATTATATCAGTAGATTCATGTTCAGTACAATGTTATGTAAATGACTATGTACCTATTTATGAATTTTGCGAATTGCATTATTATAAATATCATGTATTTGTATATCATACATATGCATTTTTATGTAAAGCGCCTAGAGCTGTGTTCACACGGGAGTGGGCGCTATAGAAATGAATCTACATTATTGTTATTATTATTATTATTGTTATTATTATTGTTGTTATTATTATTATTATTATTTATTGTTATTATTATTGTTATTATTACTATTCTTGTTATTATTATTAAAGAGTTACTGGACCTTAGGACAACCTCAGTGGGTGGTTGGCAGGTGCTTTGGTGCAGTTTGCTTAGATTCTTTCCTTTATATATATAAGCATCTATCATCCTTATCTCCCCTTCTTCTTTTTTACGTTTGTTACTCTCTTGTAACACCTCTATTCTTCTGGGGCTCATATGACATTATGCAGTTGCGAGCACCGTAAAACCTCTACTAAAACTAAACTATACAACCTCCGATATTTTTCAGGCTTAAGATCTTTATCATGTGGTTCCAGTCTCTCTGCTTGTCCGTAAATTGAAACAGAAATACCCCCCGGGGCGGTGCTACTGACTGAAGTGTCTTTAGGCCATTCCCAAAGGGGGGGACATCAACATCTCGAGTTCTTATTCACAGTAGAATTGTAATTGTAAATGGGCTGATTCATCAATGTCATGCTCATACTGTGCTGGACCTGCAACAGGGAACTGCTGCTTTTTCTTTCCTAGTCCTTACTATCGTCATTCTTCCTCTTCTTCTTTTGTATGTTTGTCACACTCCTGTGACCCGCTATTTCCGGGGTGCCTTGATAGTCAAAGCAGACTTTGTGCTGTTGAAACTAGAGAGCTGAGCAGAGTAAGTTTGATTCCCTGTAGGGACTTCTCTGTTGACATCCACCCCTTGGCGCTCATATGACCTTATGAAGTTGCGAGCGCTGTAAAACCTCTACCGTACTACTGAAACAGAAATGCAGTCGAGCCTGCTGTATGAGCAACTGAACTAATGAAGCACCCAAGACAATCACCTGTACAAATTAACTCTTTATCTCCGAGGGGGGTAAACCCACTATGCCGGGGTCCTTTTTTGGTGCTAAATCTAAAAATGACAAAAACATCCTTAAATGGGTCATCAAATTGAAACTAGCAAACCTATTTTGATAGTTCTTCATCTAACGAATGAACTTCCAGTAAAAGAGACCTGTTTTCGGCAGTAACTGCCAAAAAGTAATTTGATGTCGAAGTCGTCGTAGAGGAATGTGCCCGAGCCGCTGAGCGGCTGTCCGGCACGGCGGTTCTGGCCGCGAGCAGCTGGGAGTGGCTTGCCGGAGATAAAGAGTTTACACACATGGGCCTATAGAGATATATATGTCACGATGCGGTGGAATCAGCCGCTGGTCAATTATGGGGCATATTGCACACACCTCACATTTATTAATTTTAATACATTGAATTGTTCTCCAATATTTTTTTATTTGTTTATCAAGAGACAAAATTATTCTGAAAATCTTTTGTTAATTTGAGTGTACGCTTTTTGTGTTTATTTTCCAATAAAAGGGAAAAGATGGCAGTTCTTTGTTTCCTCAAAAGACAAAATATATTACAATACTAGCTGTTTGTTGATTTGAGTGAACACTTTTTCTTTTGTTTTCCAGTAATAAGCAAAAGATGGCTGCTCTTTTGAACTGCATGATCCACAAGTTCTCTGAGTGCGTGCCTCCCTCTGCCCAGGACATGATTTTCAAGATCATCCCAGATGAAAAACGCTGGGGAGATGTGTTCACACTGGTCTGTGACAACAAGGAAGGTCAGTCGCTTTTGTGTAGTATCTCAGCAGAACTTGCAATTTGTTAACCCTCCAAGTGTCGAGGGGGGCTCTCGTGGCCTAGAGGTTAATGTGTTCGCCTCTCATTCAAAGGTCCCGGGTTCGAGTCCGGGGAGCGACCGAGAAATTTTTTTTCTCTAAAAATTGTCTCCTTTCTCCTCCTTTCCTGCTCTCTTGCAATATTCTGTTGTCTGCTTTCGTCTCCACTTTCTACCCCCACCCCCTCACCTCCTTTTCCCCATCCACTGGGCTCCTGACTCTTTCTGAAGCCTTTCTACTGCTACTCCTTGGCTCCTTCTTACTGTTATCTTTCAGCCACACCCCTTATCTTCAGGCGAAAAATTTCGGAGGTCCCATGTGCAAGTTGCACACGTTAAAGATCCCTTGGAGATCCAAAATCGATAAGAGTAGACTTTGGCCGCCACTCGGGCAAAATTCAAAATTTCCTGCCAATTGAAAATGTTTGGTGTGTCCCGCGCGCTCATATGATCTTATGCAGTTGCGAGCGCCATAAAACACTTACAAAAAGAAAAACAAATTACCAAGTGTCGACGGCTGATTAAAGTAAGACCCAGGTCGGCGATCCCAGAGAATATTTGATCAAATTTTTCAAACTATCAAACGTTTGTTTGTTTTTTGTGGAAAAACATCCTTTGACATCTGTTCAATCGGGTCACAATAACGAAACTGTTGAAAAAACACCCTAAATGACCTAAACCTAAATGGCTAAAATGATTATAAACAGGAGGCTTTGAAAAGTAGGCCTTCATGTTGTATTTTTGTGTCATCATCTAGTGTGAAGACAGTTTTGAGATTGGCTCGTTTTTCTAAATGTGCAGCACATTGATGGGTGGTTGGCGGGTGTTCTGGTGTGGTTTGCTCCTTCTTTCCTATCAAACAACTATCGTCTTTATCTCTCTTCCTTCTTTTTTATTTTTGTTACTCTCTTGTAACACCTTTAATCTTCTATCACTCATATGACCTAATGCAGTTGCGAGCGCCGTAAAACCTCTTCTAAAACTTTAAAAAACTGTCTTGTAACACCTCTAATCTTCGGCACGTACATGACCTAATTGTGTTGCAAGTGCCGTAAAACTCTTCCTAAAAAATACATTTTTTAAACGGCACATTGGTCGTCCCCTTACTTAACCGAGAGTTTCTTCTTTCTCTTCCTGCGGCAGTGCTCAGCGAGCAGTGCATGAGCCCGACAGACTCGCAGCGCTTCCTGCAGTGCTACACAGAGAAACTCGGGGGCCTGTCCAACCTCGTCAGCACCCTGGGCTCCTCCGAGAACCTGAACCCATTGCTCTGCAAGTATGTCAATGTTGTTGTTGTTATCGATCCAACAACAGCTGGGCTCTCGCCCTTCTGTCCAATGCCATGTAGTGATAAGTGCAGGTCTGCTGCAGTTGCTGTAAACAAGTATGTCAATATATAAGATAAGATGGGATAATACTTTATATAATATATCTTTATAATACTTTACAATACTTTATTATCCCTGAGAGAATTTTTTCTTGGCTGTACAGGACTGTAAAAACACATACAGGTATACATAGAAGTTTAAATTAGATAAGATAAGATAAGACTTTATTATTCCAGAGGGAAATTTTTCTTGGCTGTACAGGACCGTAAGAATACATTAAAGGTATACATAAAAATTTTAATCATATATGTGAGGCATTGTGGTAAAATCAAGCACTCGTCGAAATAATGAAATCGAAGAAACGGGCCTTTTTCTGCGTTTTTGGCAATTTTTATCGAATTTTTTTTTTTTGCACAACACCTTTAATGTCCCCGTAAAACATATTTCTGTGTGAATAGACTGGAAAATGTTGATTAGAGGCACAAAATATTTAATTTTTCAGTTTTCTACAACTCTCAAGCTATTGAAGTTACCGTACTTTGGCGGACATTTTCTCTGTAATTTTACCACTGAAACCAGGTGACCCCCACCTCCTTCCATCTCAAACAAATATCTCGACTGCTATTCAAGATAGACGTGTATTTTATTTACTTGAAAGTACTGTAAATGAATAAGCTTTTAGGTGATACCAATAACGCCACATGACCAAAATTTGACGAGCGCTCGATTCTACCACATGGTGACACATATTAGATCTACTCTCGTTAAAATTCAATATGAAAAGAGAAGCAAAGCTGACAAAATGTACATATCACATTAAACGAATCATTCAACCACATGCAGGAATTTAATTACAAGACCTTTAGAGTTATATAGATACATACTCGAAAGAGTTCACGTAACACCCAGTGCAGACTGGCAATCAAAGATTTAGGCGCGGTCAGCCAGATTTTTCTCCTGGGAGAAGCTAAAATTAGCATTTTAGCTCAATACAACCGATTCGACTCACAACCTTGAAAAACAAATGTGTCATGACGTAGTGGAATCAGGCACTAGTCAATTTTTAGGCATGTGGAGTTATTGGTATCATCATAAAGCTTGTTCATTTGTCTTGCTTTCGGTGGAAAAAAGTACACATCTATCTTGAATTGGAGTAAACATATTTGCAATTGAAGGAGATAGTGTTGCTTGGTTTCAGAAGTAAAATTAACGAGAAAGTGGCCGACAAAATATGGTGACTGCCAAAGCTTGAGAGTCCTTGGGAAATGCAAATTTCCATCTTTTGTGCCTTTGATCAATGTTTCCCAGTAAAGTCCACACATGAATGTATTTTTTAACGGACAATAAAGATGTTGAGACAAAAATAATAATATTAGAAAAAAATTGCCCAGCGTCAATAAAAGTGCAGATTTCTTTGATTTCATTATTTTGACGTGCGCCTGATTTCACCGCGATGTCTCACAAATGTATTTGTTGATTTTAAACGTCACAGTCAGATTTAGTTGAATTTGGTCAAATTGTGCCCAAAATGGCAGCTTTTGCTTCATCGATGAAGAAATTCTGTCTTACCCCCGACTGAGTCAAATCAATTGGCTGTGTGTATTCAGTAGAAAGCCACCTGTCTACTTTGATTTTTTTTTTTTTGCTTTTTAGATGTCAATTTCTAATAATAAGTTTAATTCCAATTTAGATTTAGCTTTCAATTTTCCTTATTTATGTGTATTTTGGGAGTCTTTGTATTCAATGGTTTAGACTTTTTGTATTCATAATTATTTCCAATGTATTAGAACCGTTGGTTGTTCCTGTCTTGTTTTAAAAGTTTTGTGCTTTCCCAAAGGGGAGACTTTATCATGTTCTAATGCACAGTGGAATTGTAAATGGGCTGATTCATCCGTGTCTTGCTCATAACTGTACCTGAACTGCAACGAGAAACTGCTGCTTTTTCTTTCCTCATCCTTATTATCGTCATTTTTCCTCTACTTCTTTTGTATGTTTGTCACACTCTTGTGACCCACTATTTCCGGGGTGTCTTGATAGCCGAAGCAGACTTTGTGCTGTTAAAGCTAGAGAGGTGAGCAGAGTAAGTCTGATTCCCTGTAAAGACTTCTCTGTTGACATCCACCCCTTGGCGCTCATATGACCCCTTATGCAGTTGCGAGCGCCGTAAAACCTTACTAAAACTAAAAACTGAAACTCACCAAAGTCTCCAAAGTTTGATTGTGCGCTGTGTTTGTCTCCCCCCCCCCCCCCCCCCCCCCCCCCAGGGTGATCAGCTGGGATATGCAGTGCTTCAAGGCCAACGCAGGCTCCTGCTCCGGTGACTACCTTGACCTGATGATGAGGCTGCTCAAGATGGTGGTCTCCGTCCCCAACTGTCCCATGACGCTCGCTGGCCACAAGGTGGGTTTACGACTGCTGCTCTGCCGTCTCTTTGTCCCCTTTTGTCTTTGAGTCTTTTGAGAAACAATTTGAGAAATGATGTGTTTGAAGTTAATCTTTTGAGAAATGATGTGTTTGAAGTTAATCTTTTGAAAAATAATGTGTTTGAAGTTACAGTCTTTTGAAAAACAGTGTGTTTGAAGTTACAGTCTTTTGAAAAACAGTGTGTTTGAAGTTACAGTCTTTTGAAAAACAATGTGTTTGAAGTTACAGTCTTTTGAGAAACAATGTGTTTGAAGTTACAGATCTTTTGAAAAACAGTGTGTTTGAGATCTTTTGAGAAACAGTGTGTTTGAAGTCACAGATCTTTTGAGAAACAGTGTGTTTGAAGTTACAGATCTTTTCCCCTCTGTCTTTCAGTCTTTTGAGAAATGATGTGTTTGAAGTTAATCTTTTGAGAAATGATGTGTTTGAAGTTACAGTCTTTTGAGAAATGATGTGTTTGAAGTTAATCTTTTGAGAAACAATGTGTTTGAAGTTACAGATCTTTTGAAAAACAGTGTGTTTGAAGTTACAGATCTTTTGAGAAACAGTGTGTTTGAAGTCACAGATCTTTTGAGAAACAGTGTGTTTGAAGTTACAGATCTTTTCCCCTCTGTCTTTCAGTCTTTTGAGAAATGACGTGTTTGAAGTTAATCTTTTGAGAAATGATGTGTTTGAAGTTAATCTTTTGAGAAATGATGTGTTTGAAGTTACAGTCTTTTGAAAAACAGTGTGTTTGAAGTTACAGTCTTTTGAAAAACAGTGTGTTTGAAGTTACAGTCTTTTGAAAAACAGTGTGTTTGAAGAGACAGATCTTTTCCCCTCTGTCTTTCAGTCTTTTGAGAAATGATGTGTTTGAAGTTACAGTCTTTTGAGAAACGATGTGTTTGAAGTTAGTCTTTTGAGAAACAGTGTGTTTGAAGTTAATCTTTTGAGAAACAATGTGTTTGAAGTTAATCTTTTGAGAAATGATGTGTTTGAAGTTAATCTTTTGAGAAATGATGTGTTTTAAGTTAATCTTTTGAGAAATGATGTGTTTGAAGTTACAGTCTTTTGAAAAACAATGTGTTTGAAGTTACAGTCTTTTGAAAAACAATGTGTTTGAAGTTACCGTCTTTTGAAAAACAATGTGTTTGAAGTTACAGACTTTTGAAAAACAATGTGTTTGAAGTTACAGTCTTTTGAAAAACAGTGTGTTTGAAGAGACAGATCTTTTCCCCTCTGTCTTTCAGTCTTTTGAGAAATGATGTGTTTGAAGTTACAGTCTTTTATGAAATGATGTGTTTGAAGTTAGTCTTTTGAGAAACAATGTATTTGAAGTTAGTCTTTGAGAAATGATGTGTTTGAAGTGGGTTGTTGGTGGGTGCTCTGGTATGATTTGCTCCTTCTTTCCTATCAAACATCTATCGTCCTCATCTCTCCTCCTCCTTTTTTGTGTTTGTTACTCTCTTGTAACACCTCTAATCTGCGGCGCTTATAAATATGACCCTATTGTGTTGCAAGTGCTGTAAAACTCTTACTACCACTAAAACTTCGACTGACTGTTTTTGTTCTGGTTTTTGGGGGGGTTTTTCTCCGCAGCTGGAGAATGCTTTTGTTCTGGGTTTTCTTTTTAGTTTTAGTTTTAGTTTTAGTAAAGAGTTTTACGGCACTTGCAACACAATAAGGTCATATAAGTGCCGAAGATTAGAGGTGTGACAAGAGAGTAACAACAAACGTAAAAAAGAAGGAGGAGAAATAAGGACGATAGATGTTTAAGAGGAAAGAAGGAGCAAACCACACCAGAGCACCTGCCAACCACCCACAGGTTTTTTCCCCCTCAGCGGCTGGAAAATGCTTATGTGTTCTGTTTTTTTGTTTTTTTCCCTCAGCGGCTTGAGAATGCTTTGAGCTCCATCATGGTGCATGGTCACCCCCTGCACTTCCAGCCCCAGGGAGAGGCCCGCTACAAGACTCCCGGCAACTACTGAGGCGGCGGCCCAACCCCAGTCTGACTCCGGCCCGATGCTGAGCAGGCTGTGACTTCGCAATGAGCACACACACACGCACTCACGCACTCACACAGGCTCACAAGCACGCGCACGCACACTTGCGAGCTTACAAGCATCATACACACTAGCATCGTACACACAAGCACATGCACGCTCACATGCGAGCTTACAAGCATACACACTTGTACAAGTACGCGCACACACACATACAAGCTTACAAGCATCATACACAGTTGTACATGCACACAACCTCTCTCACGTACACTTACATGCACACAAGCATACACATGTGTACACACACACATACACACACACAAACACACACACACACACAGACACCCACACACTTTCATACCCACATACAGACAGCACCGCTTCTGCTTGCTTTTAGATTTGGCCTCAACCACCAGCTGAACACAGTGGCGTCTTCTTACCAAAGGACGGGTCAACAACAGCAACGACAACAACAACAACAACAACGACAACAACATCTATCTACCCAAAGGACACTTCAGTTACTACAACCACCATGTCTACTTATCTGTACCCAAAAGGCAGTTGAACAATAACAACAACAACAACATCAACAACAATAACTACAACCACTATGTCTACTTACCCACAAGGCAGTCCAGCAACAACCACCGCAACATCTACAACAACAACAACAACAACAACAACCACCCCCACAACATCTACTTACCCAAAGAACAGTTCAACAACAACAACCACAACAACAACAACAACAACAACCACCACCACAACATCTACTTACCCAAAGAGCAGAGTTCAACAATGGCATCCTACCTACTGGTGGTGGCATACAAAGTTGTCACAACTGCCACCCAAGAACTCTCTAACAAAGAGAGCGTGTCACAACACACTTCACACAATGATGTCGTTCACTTCACAGACTTTGCTCTCGTAAAAGAAGAATCCCGAGGAAAAGTAATCTCTCGTATTTTTCGCGCTGATGGCTTTTATTTAAATCCCATTATATAATAGAAGTCGTGATCGTTGTTGAATTGTGTGATGCAGTTTTTCTCTTTTTTTTTCGAGTCCAAAGATCCATGTGCAGAGTTATATAAATGAATGTTTACTTAACACTCAGTTTGATTTCTGTGTTTTTAATGGTTGTACATTCTTGTAATTTTATTTTCAATGACAGACTTTTATTTATGCTATATTGATATGGTCAGTACTTTCTGACGTGATCATTAGTTTTCTAGAATTAATTTTGTTTGACTTGAATAGTCGGTCGACATTCCTGGTTGGTATCAAATTCTAAGTGTTGAAAGAAAAGCTAGAAAAATGACATAATGTTAGTACATTAAATTTTGTAAAAAAAACAGGAAACAAGTTGTTTTCTCTCTCTCTCTCTCTCTAGAAAAACATTGCTGTCTAGGTTAAGAATACGGTAGTTGAACAGTTTGTGGAGGAAATACTCGGATGTTGTTGTGAAGTTGTCTCCTCGAAGACTGTGACTCTCCACTGAACACACACACTCACACACACACACACACACACACACACACACACACACACACACACACACGCTGTGACACACAGCAGCCTCAACAGTCTGTGGCTTGTTGTCTTGCCAGAACTTGAAGTTGAAGAGAGCGAACCTCCTCCTGTTGTGAGCTAGCTGTATAAGTCTTTGTTCCTTGGACAACAAGTCGCGACCTCGGTGCTTTCTTGTCCTATCTCCATCCCATTTTTTAACAGTGAAAATGTGACTTCTTCTTAAGCTTATTCTTTGTTATGAACTGTTTTCACTGCTATTAAAAATGGAAATTCAACAAGAAAGCGCTGGGGTCGCGAGTCTGTGGCTCTTGTCTTCTTGCCAGAACTTGAAGAAAGTGAACCTCCTGTTGCGAGCTAGCCACACAGTTCTTTATTCACTGGCAAACAAGTCGCGACCTTAGCGCTTTCGTGTCGCATCTCCAATTTTTAATAACAGTGAAAACAGCTCGTAACAAAGAGTTAGCTTAAGAAGAAGTCACATTTTCACTGTTGAAAAAAAAATGGAGATATATGGCAAGAAAGCACTCGGGTCGCGAAGTCTTGTCCCCAAACTGTTTTGGCGTCGCAGACAAAGAATACTTGTAGTTGTAGCAAACACGCACTTACCCTTTATACCGTTTTTGTGTGTCTCTTATCCCAGAGTTAGTTGTTAGTGGTAAGTTTGTGTGCGTATTTTGTGCCGTGAAAATATTGCTTTTGAAGTTTTCATTTTCCTTTGCCCTTTTGCTGTTTTTTTTAATACCTCCCAAACAGGAGCTTGGAGGGGTTCAGATTCAGAGTCTCATAGTTGGGAAGCAGCCGGCCAAAAGTTTTCTTTTCTTTCTTTTTTTGTGTCAGTGCTCTACCAGTATGCGGATTTCAGTTGAAAGAAAGCTACTCTTTTTTTTATTTGAATGTGAAGTAATTTTGCAAGGCATTCAATTTCAAAATTGTCACTTAGAGACTTAAGACATTTTGTCTGTACTTGCCCTCCAACTCTAACATTGTATTGAATTAGCTCTATTTTTGCTGCTGCTTTTACTGACATTCTTTGAAATCCACCAACCATGCAGGGGATAACAACAATGTTCTTGTTCTGATTCTTAATGCTCAATTGTGCTTTTTTTATTCAAGTTTCCAACCTAAGATTCATGTAGGCAAATCAGGAGAGGTCGAGGTCAAGTCTCTGGAACTAGAATATAACATAGCTTTTGATTTGCTTTCAAAGATTTAGTACAAGAATTATTTTTTTGCCAAAGATGTGTATATCATGCTGAGGGATTGTTTTGAGCTAGGTCTAGCTTCAGAAGATATTTTGGGCTTTGGGGTTTTTTGGCTTATAACTTAGTGGGGAAAATCCTGTCCAATTGGCTCTTCTGAGTCTTTTTGAAATTGAAACAGATTCTCATAATTCTTTGATCAATAATCTGCACTTTGAACTACCTTCAACTAACCTTACTATTAGTATTAGTATTAGTAGTCTAACTTTTAAGAATTCTTTTGATGTTGACTAATCCTTTCCACCTTTGTTACAATTCAGTTAGAGACTTCTTGCAGTTTACATATTTCCTTCTAGTTCTAGTTAACACTCAACTGCCCCCATTTTGTTTTTCAATGCAACGTAAATAAATGTACTGTGTCATTTGGTTTCGTTTTTGAGTTTTTCAAAAGAACAAATCATTCCTTTTTTTTTTTCATTTCAGACTGGTGTATCTCTACAATGTTTTTCACTTTTCCTTTTAGGGTCAAAAAGAAAAATCTCAGAATGAAGGATTTATAATTTTATACATTGCCATTTTGTTTAGCAATCACTCTCGGAGAACTGCGGTGTTCAATTTATATTTTTAGGAAAGTTTTCAAGTTGGGTGATTAAAATTTTGAAGGATTGAAGTCTTTTTGTTGGTGTTCTTTTTATATTTGAAGTTACATGACAAATATTATATATATATATGAAGACTACAATTGGGAAAAGCGACGGTAGTCTCAAACTGAAAATCGTAAGGGTACCAATTTTGAACACTTGTTGACTCATAACTGTATTTCTGTTCAACTGTTGGTTGATTATTGTTGTTAGATTTCCCATTCAACAACACTCTATTAAACCACCAGCCAAACAAAAATATGAGTCTAGAAGCTTTTGAAATTGGCACCCTCACAAATTCCTGTTTGTGACTACCGTCTTTTTCCCCCTGTGCTCTTCATATAATTATGTGTGTGTGTGTGTCTGTGTATGTGTGTGTGAGGCATCGTGGTGAAATCAGGCGCTCGTCAAAATAATGAAATCTGAGAAATCAGCATTTTTGCGGCCAGTTTGGAATTTTTTATTTTTTGGCTCAACGCCTTGTATGTCCATTCAAAAACACTTTTATGTGTGGATTTTTTTAGTAAAACGTTGGTTAAAGGAACACAAAAAATATAACTTTGCCTTTTCCAAGGACTATTAAGCTATGGAAGTCACCAAACTTTGGCAGCCATTTTCTCACTAATTTTTTCGTCTGAAATAAGACGACCCCACCTCCTTACTTCAATTGCAAATATCTCGGCTTCTATTCAAGATAAATGGATATTTTTTTCACAGAAAGTTGAGAAAGCAAGGCAATTGAAAAAAGCTTTCAGAATCAGATAATACCAATGACTCCATATATATGCCCAAAAATTGACGAGTGCCTGATTCAACTGCGTTGTTACACATGCGTGTATAATATGTGAGGCAGCGTGGTGGAATCAATAATGAAATCGAAGTAAACAGCAGTTTTCTCCCCCTTCTTAGCAATTTGTAGCAGGGGGGGGGGGGGGCACAACACCTTTTATGTCCATTTACAAACACATTCCTTTGAGGACTTCACCGAAAACGTTGATTAAAGGCACAAAAATATAAATTTACAGTTTCCGTGGACTCTCCAGCTTTGGAATTTACAAAGCTTTGGCGGCCATTTTCTTGCTAATTTTACCTCTTAAACCAGGTGACCCCCACCTCCTTCTATTCAAAATATCTCCACTTCTATTGAAAATGGATGGGTAATTTTTTTCATTGAAAGCAAGACAAATGAACAAGCTGTAAGATGATACCAATGACTCAATATGCCCAAAAATTGACGAGTGCCTGATTCGATCGCGTTGTTACACATGCGTGTATAACATAATGATTTGAAATACAGTGAAAACTGACCAAGCTGTCCCCGTCGTTTGATGTAAGGAAAATTTCGAAATTATGCAAACTAAGCCCAAAAATGTGAAATTATTACTATTCTGTTAATTTTAACAAAGTATGATAAAGGAAAATAATCAGAAATTATGCGAAAAAATGATAGAATTTTGCTAAATTATGTGGGGTGCATAAAATCATGGGGACAGACCAAGACAGTCCCTTTGTTTAGAGGTAGGAGAAAAACAGGATGTCTTACACCTAGACAGGTGAACAGGTGGGTGTCTTGGACCTTGTCTTATCAAATGTGAGACAGTGTGATGAAATCAGGCGCTCATCAAAATAATGAAAATGAAGAAACTGGCACTTTTCCCCGCAGGTTTGGCAATTTTTTTCGAATTAAAAAAATTTTTTTAGCCGAACACCTTCTATGTCCATTAAAGAACACATAAAAATTTCTGTATGGATTTTATTGAAAAACATTGCGATAACTGTGTTTGGTTCTCTATTGTTAATTACCGTAGTTATGTCCCCTCGTTTGAATTCATTAAAATGTATATTTTTTTATCTTCTGCTCTCTTTAGGATGAACAATAAAGTATTATAAAGTTTAGATTCAGTAGTGTCATATTTTAGTCATAAGCACCCAGCATGGTCGGTTGCTAATTTGTGTATACGGTTGCCATGCGAAAAATTCTCGAATATAGTGCGGTCAAAAATTCGTGGCGCTGCTTATCCTCAAATATCTTTTTAACGATTTAATCATTGTCACCCATAATTTGCTTGGCAGTTTGTATCAATTTGTCTTAACTGAATCTTGTTTTTCTACAACAATTGAGGTTAGTTTAAAAAAACTTTTCTTCATTAATTTTTATAAAATACTACATGTACAAATTTCCTTCACGCGGAAAACTGAATTGTTCACAGCACTTCCCGCTTCTCACACATATTTTGCGTACGCACACATGGCCTACGTCACAGCTCACCAGTGACACTTTTTAATGGCAAAACTAGTTACAATTAAGAAATTAATTTTATAGGAAACACTTATTTGCACTAAAACTAAGTTATCAAAACATCCTTTCAATAAAGATAATCTCGCGATTACAAAAAAAAAAGAAAAAATGACAGGTTTGCTTTTAAAAGCGATATTGTCCCAGCTGT